TTTGACGAAATTGTTCAAAAAACAGGATATCAATATCGATTTTTATCGATTACTTGGAAACGGGGCAAGTTATCGGATATCGGAAACAAACTCGATCTGCGCGGGCACTAGGAGGACCTACAGCTAAAATTTCAAGACTCTAGCTCTTATAGGTTCTGAGATCCTTGCGTTCATACATACGGACGGACACGGCTAGATTGACTCGGCTGTTGATGCTGATCAAGAATATATATACTTTATGGGGTCGGAGATGCTTCCTTCTGCCTGTTACATACATTTGCACAAATACATTATACCCTTTTTACCCATTTTTAATGGGTTCCGGGTATAAAAAGACAGATAAAATAAAGCCAGAGAAAACTTAAGTTTTAACGATATGATAACTATTGAGAAATATAAATATTATACTTAAGACTTTTGGAAAAGTGATGTCATTTTATAAATAACTGAATCTTTTACTAATCGGCACTTAAGCTGATCAGAAATTTACATAAATAAATTCCCATTTTAATGTAGCTTATATTATCTCATTTTCTATATAGTATAAAGCCTCCATTTCATATTAGCTCGCACGGCAATCGCTTGGCCAATAAATTTTATAGCCCGAAAAAACTTTCTCGCACTTGAATTTTGTTTATCTGGGCGCACGGCCGACTCAAAGGCAGAAGCTGCTGGGCGTGTTTTTAATTGCCGGGACAATTAAAAACAATTTTGCAGGCACCCAGAGCGGGGCAATAAATTTAATTGGCCGCAGTGACGCCCCCTTGAAAGACGCCCCCTTTGACTTTTGTTGGCTTTTATGGTCTCCCGCTCCCTCTACCTCGCTTCCATTCTATCTCTATCTCCATTTTCATTTTCATTTTCATTTCCAGCTTCATCTCCGGCCACGTCTCCTTTGCTGCTTTTCTGGGTTTTTTGGCTTGGCAGCCATTTTCGCACCTACTGACAAGGTGTCTGTGGGGCGCGCAGCAATTTATGCGGCTGTCAAATGCAACCCTGCTTGATTTTTATTGGCAGCCAACACGCACGCCCCCCCTCCCAACTCCCTTTGCTTTTCGGGTAATTGCATTGAGCACATAAATCAATTGAATTGCATTTTCATGCGACAAGTTTGGCCAAGCAACCCTCCTGGAGCCGGGGATGCTGTTGCTTCTGGTCCGCGCCCTCGCCTGCAAGTGAAAGCTAAAGTAGTTTTTCCTTAGAGCTGTCTTTCATCTTTTCGCACAGCTTCCAGCCCTGGTCCCAGCCCCAGCTCGGCTTCTGCTGTCCTGCTGTGAAACCCTTTCGAGCGGAGCATAATCAATTGAAATTGCATGCAATGCGTCAAAGCCAAAGCCAAAGTCCATGTTGTTGCTGTGGAAAAGGGAAAGGAAAAGGGGAAGGGTAGCCCGGAGTCGGAGTCGAAGTCAATTCCCCGCTTCTGCGTCATCCATTAGTTTTGGCTTGCGGCTGCCCCCATTTCGAAAATTTGAGGTCTGTTCACGTAAAAAGATTATCAGAACTTCGTTTATTGCTTATCAAATTAAATGATTAATGTTTCTGGCTCTTTGTTGTTGCTGTGCCTTTCCTCGCTTTGCTTTTCCAACGAAACTGTCAGCAACAGTTTTTCACAGTTCAAATGTGCTTCTTTATATTCATTTGATTTTTCTGTAGCTGTTGTTGTTGTCGTTCTTGTTGTCGAGCATTTTATTGAGAAAGTTTTGTGGCGACTTTGCGGCTGTTAACGCTCTGTTTTTTTTTTGCTCTGGGGGCAATCGGAGGCGGCAAATCATATTTCACTTATTTTGAATATAAAATTTTGTGCGACACTTTGATAACAAATTTGCATATCTGATGCAACAAGTGCCACATGCTGGACAACAGCCTTCACTTGGCGCTTGCTAAACAGATAAGAATGGGCACATTTTTCGGGGGCTGTGAGAGATGGGGATGTATAGATGAGAGAGAGGGGAAGATATGGAGCGAGAAAAACGAAGAGGAAAATCTAAAACTGTGAAACAACTTCCACATACAAGGCAATAGCTTCCACTGAAGTTTCAAGAAGCCTCTACAGCTGGGTTAATATTCTGTAAATTTTAAACTCATTCTTCTTCATATTAAACACTTCTGATGTAAAAAAGTTAACTAGAAAGAAGTTTTACTCACTAAAATGCTTAAAAATCCATTCCTATTAATTAAATATGGAAAGCAAATTTAAAGGAAACACTTATTTTGACTTAAAGTCATATATGTATATACACATATATTCTATAATCAAATTAAATGTTTTCATTGAAAATTTTAAATATAGTTATTATTTCGGATGGTAACTTAACTTAAGTCCCACACAGGTTCCACATGCAAATGTTCCACAGGCTATAAAGAGCTGGCCATAAATATGGAATGTGTTTACGGAATGTTCTCTTTCTCAGACAAACAGACTTTAAGTTCAATTAAATACTACCTTCAAATTTAACATATTCTTTGCAATTTCTTCAGACTGTAATTTCAACATTTTGACTTAAGTTCCACATGCTATAAAGAGCTGGCTATGTAATGTAATATGTAATGTATTTACGGAAAGTTCTATAACTCAGACGGACAGACTTAAAGTCCACAAATTCCAAACATAAAGTCTACCTTCAATTTTAATGTATACATTATATAATAATTATATACAATTATAGATTAAATTTTAAATTTACATTCAAAGTGTAATTTCAACATTTTGACTTAGGGCCCACAAATGTAACACTTGCAAATTTCAAAACTATTTCCCGCCTGTGCCCCACATAAAGAGCTGGCCAAGCATGGCTCACATTTTTGGTTGGGTGTCGGAATAGATGTAACTAACGCACCCGCATGCACGGCATATGATCCACAGCCCATTAATCAGCGAGGGCATCCAAACAAAAGTATAACTCATCAACGCACAAATTACAAAGACAAACGATGACTGACAATGGCCAAAGCTGCGACGTCAGTGCCACACCACTTACTACCCACAATCCACACACACACACACACACACACACACACACACGCACACACGCACACACACTCGCGCTGTGGGCCAGAGTTTTTGTTAATTAAACAAATGCCGCAGTGACATGTGGACATCAGGATGATGACTGGCGTTTGGCGTATGTTGAGCGCATCGCAGTTTGCGGTTATGCATCTGCAGGGCCAAATTGTCACATCGAGGAGGGGCAGGGTGTGGGGGGCAGGTTACGGTTTTTGGGGCTAGCTTCTGAATGCACACAATTCCGGTTGACAAAAGTGGCGGCGCCGCCAACAACGTCACTGAAAATGGCTCCGCATGCAATTTAATTTATTTCAATTGCAGCTGAAATTATTACGACAGGCGACAGTCGAGCGCTGCGAGGGGCGGGAGGAGACGGAGGGGCGGAGGGGCGGGGCGACAGGCGACAAAGTGCCGTCGCAGAGCACCGCAGCAATTTGCTCATATTTTGTATTTCTTTGTTTGTTGCAGCTTTTCCCTTTTTGCCGCACAAAATTGTTCATAAACAAATTCTGGCGCGAAGTAACCAAACGCAGTAAGCGTCAATTTCAATTAAACAGACATCATCAGCGAGATGATGATGATGATATTGATGTTGATGATGCTGACGATGATGATGATGCACCCAGCTGGCCTCTAGCTGCCTCGTGTGTGTCTTGCCACATTTGCCACCGCGTCAGAACTCGCGCTTAACTTGCACCAAAGCGGTTGGGCTGCGGCCAGGATTGCCACCGCACCGCAGCGGCTGCCCACACTGGGATAGTTAACTCTGGGCTGATAAGTAGCTGACTTTCATAGCGGAAAATCGAAATTTTCTCTTGGGAGTTGGCGGCTAATAAAGCGTTTGATTTACAAGGAAACATAGTTTGTGAGAACTTTGAGTATAGGAAATATTATTTGAGAAAACTTTAAGTCTCATATGAATTGTAACGTTAACTTTTTCACATCGAAAGAGTTAGAAGAAATTAAAATAAGAAAGATAATAAAGCGTTCGATTTACACGAAAATCTTATTTGTGAAAACTTTAAGTCTCATATGAATTTTATAATTAAGTTTTTATTTCGAAAAAATTTGAAGGAATTATATATGTAGAAGCATATGTATAAAAAATATTATTTGAGAAAACTTTAAATCTCATATGAATTGTAACATTAACTTTTTCATTTCGAAAAAATTTGAAGGAATTAAAATAATATATATTCTTCAATATGTATTAGCAATATTTATTATATTAAGTCTTAACCGAAACACGCATATTTCTTTGCAGCCCTGCTTCAAAGAATCTCTATTGCTCTTCGCTTTTTGACCACGGTGCGCAGTGTCCCATGGTCTTTTAAGTAGCTCGCAGCAATTGCAGCTGTGCCTTAGTTTATTCCGACTTGACCCCACTCCCCTCCCACCCCTCTCTGCCCCCACCGAAACAATTCCACTAATATAATGTGGCCATAACGAACTGCACTTGGCCCAAACGGCGCTGACTTTTGCAATGCCATGCATTCGCCATGGGTGGCCACCAGATACAGTTTCATTTGAAGCGTTTAAGCATTGTTGTTGCCAGTTGCTCTTGTTGTTGTTGTTGTTGTTGTTATTGTTGTTGTTGTAGTTGCTGCTGTTGTTGTTGTTTTCGGTTGCACAGCGCCGCAGAGTTTCAAGTGTAAATTAATTTATGAGGCACGCGGCGTCAACGGCGCCGCGCTGTGCGGCTTGGGTCAGCAATTGCGAATATATACCCCATAGCCCCCGCCCCCCTCTCTCTACACCCCTTGCCACACCCCTTCGACCATTTGGCACTTGCCATTTTGGCCATTTGCCATTTGAAATGTCAACCAAAGTGTGAAATTTCATATTGAATGATGACGCGGCCGTCGCCAGCGCTGCCATTGACAAATGAAGCTGACCGAGGAGAGCTGCATAATTGAGCAGCCGATACATAAATACACTATATATATATGTATATATATATACTCTATCCTATATACTCTATAAATGTCTCACTTACCTATTAAAGTGCCGATGACGCAGAGCGCGGCGAGCAGCTGCAAACAGGCGAACATTTTGTTGGTTTTTGATTAAAACTCGTTCCGTTTAATTGATAGAAAGTCTGGAAAGAGATGAGAGGGATAATTGTTTATATTTTTTTTAATTTTAATTTAAATGTTTTCATTGTGTATGATGTTTAAGTACGTGTTTATTTTGCCTATTATACACATGCATCATCATAATTATTATTTTTCCTTTCATTTTCTATTTTCCACTTGTGTTTTTTTGTTGTCAACCACGCCCCGCGGCTCAATGTTGTCTAGACGCCCCGTCGCTGCGGCAGACACATGCAATTTGTCGCTTGTTTAGCACGCCATAATAGAGATATTACAGCCCCCCTCCCCCCCCCCCCTCGATTCACCCCCCTCTGGCTGGTCCGCTCCTGTTCCGGCGTTGCCAAAAGCAAGTGTCAAGCGGAAGCGCCACCTGCGCCGATGCCGATGCCGACGCCAATGTCATCATTCAAATGTCATTTGCTCTTACAAATTGTTGTTTGACATGGCATGCCGCTAATCAAAACAGAACACACACACCTCGGCACACACACACACACACACACACACACACACAGAGCGCCACATATGTCAATCAACACCAGGGGCACACACACACACACTTGCCCATCCTTGTGTGCAATTAAGCGCTGCAAATAGCACTGGCTCGATTTGTGGCCCAGCCCCTGGTCAGTGAATGGTGAGTGGGAGGAATGTGGAATGTGGCTTTGTTACGCCACGCCATGCCACGCCCACTCTATTGACCAAAAAATTTTCATTAGTTTGGCCATTGTCCAGAATCTGAATCGGAATCAGAATCAAAGTCGAGAATCGGACTCATCTGCCCGCTGGCTGCCTTCTGTTTGGAAATCAGTCGATGATTGTCATCGTAGGTGTGACTAATTGTTGGTCATTTATCTTCTTTGCCTGTGCTCAGCTTTCAGCCTTTGCCTTTGCCTTTTGCATTTGCCTTCGCTTTTTGTTTCCATGGAAGCCATGAATAATTTCCGTTCCCCCCTATTGTGTTCCTTAACCGGTTAGCTGGGGCCCTTTTTTTCGACAGTTTGTCCAAATTAGATACATTTGGCCCTCCGCCTCGAATTGATGGCCCAATTGCCGGCTCGAATGGGCTCGAACCGGATGACGGGCATCAATTACCAGTTCAGTGTACAAGTAATTGCTAATATTATATCGAAGATCAAAACAGATCGCTTTGAATCAAGCCTAAGAACATGCCAATCGATTTGCACATCATTTCAATGTTTGCTAATTTATATGCGAGACCAATTGGATTAGTACAGTGAAACCTAAGTGCACAACTCTTCTCATACTTAATTGTTCAGTATATATAAAAAGCTTGACGGACTATTTGCATATCTTCCATTCCAGACTATTGACTATTCAAGTAGTTAGTCTTAGGCTCTAGTCTTAGTTTTTACTCGAATTGTGCTGCAAGTGGAATGCAGTATGTTGCATTCCATTTCTCGATAACATTCAGAGATTATCCTGCATGTTTTCCTGCTTTTGTTATTCACCAACTGCAACCACAGTTATCCGCTTAAAGGAGCTTTCACTGTATGTAACATATCATAGTCAAATAAATATTTTACTGTTTTTCAGATAAGTTTTCAGCAACACATTTTCATGTCATCGAAACCAACACAGCTACCCCCCCCCCCCCCCTTCTCCTCCTCCGACCAACTCTCCTGCTCTGAACGTGTTGTTGTAACATATGTGCCATGTTCAGCTCTGTTGTTTGATTGACAAATGCTTTGAAAGCGGCCACATGGAAGGCACAGACAAATATTATACCGAAATGATTGTCAAAAATTGTTCGCATGCAATATTTGGCTCTGGGCTCTGGGCTGGGCTGGGCTCTGGGCTAACAGCTAACTAGCCATAAATGCCCCAATGACTTGCAATACATGTGTATCTGTTCGCCCCTAGGCTGTGTATCTGTCAGATACAGATACCCGTGTGTGTGAGTGTGTGTGTTGTAAGCAACCCCCGACAAATGCTATGGCAACACTTGCGGGGTGTGTGTTCCCTTATTTCTATCTTTTTTCTTTGTTTTTTTGGGCCGACAGGTGCACACACGTCTCCTTTTTCAAACTAATTTCAAAGCGAATGCCTTGGCGAGAGCGGGAGAGCGGGAGAGGGAGAGGGAGAGCTCGCACTTGCTCGCGTGTCTCGGCTGATTTGCATAATTTGGCCGTTAAGTGGCGGAAAAATGTAATCGAATGAACAGATAGGCAGCTAGGTGCCTAGGTGCCTAGCTGCCAGCTATTTTTACGAGCGCCCAACTGTAATTAGAATGTAACATTTTTTTTGGCAAATACAAGCAGAGGAAAAAAGTCATTCGCTTCTTAGCTTAAATAAAAGCAAATGAGTCTCGAATGTAGGCAGATATATATATTTATTCTTACGCCCCAGACAAGTAGCCAGCCCCTTACCTGTGCCGGAGGTGGAGCCGGAGGCGGAGGCGGAGGCAGCCCCACAAGTGAGCAGCGTTTGTTAACCTTTTTAGCCACTGGCCCCATTCGGGTGGGTGTTAATAAAACTGTGCTTATGTAACAATGTCAAGATACTTTTACAATTCGGTTCATTGGTTTTTTAGTGCTTTGGTTTTTGGTCTGCTGTCCCCCCTCTTTGTAGCTCAACAACAATATGTGACAATTCAGCCGAGGTATAGGTTACCATGACAGCAGTCCTGCCCAATTGAAAATTCTCCAAGTTATCAATTACAATTGTCTCTATGCTGCGGCTATACAAGTGCCAAGTCCTAGTCCGGACAATGGCAAACGTATAATGTGTCTTATAAGAGTAGAGGGAATATATGCGACAGTTTCTATAGCTTCTGATGCTGGCTCGCATTACCATTTTGCGGCAATTGAATTGGTTTTTCATATTTTGTAACGAATGTGGAAACTCAAGATAAGTCCATTTAAGAGCTAGCTGAAAAAGTTAAGTACTTTAAGCGAGACGCACAAAAACCTACCGCAGTTTGTGCAATAAATCTATAAATAATATTTAAAACATGACGCGCATTTATGACGCACAGTTCAGCTGCTTTCAGCAGAAGCTCTTCGCTTAATTCACCATGTTCGATTGCTCTTAAATTAAAAAAAAACAAGTAAGAGGTTCTAGTCGGGAGCTTCCGACTAGGGGATACCCTGAGCCCTCTTCTCCCAACAGACGAAAGGTATAAAATGGAAGATACTTGATATATATATATATATATTATTCTAGAAGCTACATGTCAAGTTTGGTGACTCTAGCTCATATTATTTGACGAAATTGCTCAAAAAACTGGATTTCGATATCGATTTTTATCGATTACTTGGTAACGGGGCTAGTTATCGAATATCGGAAACAAACTCGATCTGCGCGAGCACTAGGAGGACCTACAGATCAAATTTCAAGACTCTAGCTCTAATAGGTTCTGAGATCCTTGCGTTCATACATACGGACGGACGGACGGACAGACAGACGGACATGGCTATTGATGCTGATCAAGAATATATATACTTTATGGGGTCGGAGATGCTTCCTTCTGCCTGTTACATACATTTGCACAAATGCATTATACCCTTTTTACCCATTTTTAATGAGTTCAGGGTATAAAAATAATCACAATACCGAGTTGCTTATAAGTCAACGTTGGGTTTGTTCTGGGCTCAGTTTTCGAGCGACTTTCACGATGGAACCATTAATCGGCGTGGGCTTACTGTTGCTCTTTGGACAAATTCTAGCCTTGGACAATGCTGGATATCAAGATGGAATTAGTTACGAGCAATTGGCATGTATTTTACATAAAACACAAGAAGAAGTTCAACAGCGAGAGGATCGACTTAGAAGATGCTGCAAGCTGCTCAGAGCCCTCGACAGTGAAAACAATTGCGATTTTTGTTACGATCAGTTAAATGACAAATTGCCCGTGGAAAATATTAAAGTCGAGTGCGCGGCTGGCTTGCAGGGTACATTGCGACCAGAATGTACAAGGAATTCAATGACACACAAATGTCAAAGAAAAGAATACCCAAAAAAGTAAAGCAATAAACAATAAACAATAAACAAAATTTAAGTGCAAAATAATTAAAATGAGGCTCACACAAAGAAAGTGGGTTGAGATAAAAATACTTAAAACCTCACCCACAAGAAGCTCTTTAAATAGAAAGCCTTTTCGCTTTGTTTCGCTTTCAATATATAATAATTATTTATAATCAGCAAAAGGCTTTGGACCCAGAATCAAGTTATATAAAACTATAAATCGGCTTTTAAATATTCCCTATAGTATTGTATGTTTATAATATTTCAGCCTGGATAACTGAATAAGCATGAAACTAAATCAACTTTGGCTGCCAATTAAAAGCAATTAATAAATCAAGCGTTATAATAAAAGAAGCTCAAAGTATTTGCTTTTAATTAAGACTAAGAATAAAAAACTACAAGCAATAACTTTTGCCTTCGAGAATGGGAAATTGCAAGTAGAAAAAAAAATGGTAAAAGGGCCAAATCGATTTCAGAACATAAACAAAATGTGTAACACGAAGAAGAAGAAGAAAGTCGCCCATAAAAAAAGTGGCAAGAGGGCCGCATTAAAAATTCTCAGCTAATAAACTAACAAGAGCCGCGGCAAAAATGTATAAACAATCGAATCTGTGCGTGTGCGTGCTATATATACGATTTGATACCCTCTAATTTGTTTATTTTGCGCTAAATGCACAGCAAGAAACAACAGCAGCAACAACAACAACGAGAAGTGCAGCAGCAGCAGCAGCAGCAGCAAGTGCCATAAAAAATCAACAGCAGCAGCGCGAGGCGTTGGGAATTACAAATTTATAAACTGGCAAATGCGCCATGTGTGACTGGGGCGAAGAGTGGGAAGGGGGGGGTTGTGAGAGGGGTATGGAATATTGGAAAATGCTGTAATGCCTGAATATTTATGCAAACGTCAATGCAATTGAGTTTTTCGAGCTACCAGCATTAGTATTTTATTACAAATCATCCAACACACACGCACACAAATATATACACACACACACATGCATATTGTAGCAAATTGAAG